AGCTGAACAAAACCTGGTTCTTGTTCCAAAAGCCTAAGACCAGAAGGTGGTGTAGTGTAGGTGGCTGTTCAAAGTGAAAGAAGGAACAAACCAGTCCGATCCTCTAAGATACAAGGCCAGGTTAGTAGTAAAAGGCTACACACAGAGAGCAAGTATTGATTTTAATGAAGTATTCTCTCCATTAGTTAAGTTTGAGACAATTAGATTAATGTTATCAATTGTTGCTCACCTTTACCTAGAGTTAGAACAGTTAGACGTTAAAACTGCCTTTTTGCATGGTGAGTTAGAAGAGGAAATCTTCATGAGTCAACCTACTAGCTTTAGAGGCAAAAACTCGCCTGATTACGTTTGTTTGTTGCATAAATCCTTGTATGGCTTGAAACAATCTCCTAGGCAGTGGTATAAGAGGTTCGACTCCTTTATTGTGAGGGCTGGATTCACTAAGAGTGAGTATGACAACTGTTTTTACTTTGCATCCATTGATAACATGCCTATATATTTACTTTTATATGTTGATGACATGTTGCTAATTAGTAAGTCGAAGTCAAAGATAGATGAATTAAAATCAAAATTGAGTGTTGAATTTGATATGAAAGACTTGGGTTATGCAAAGAAAATATTAGGTATGGTGATAGAGAGAAATAGGAAACTTAATCAATTAAGACTACACCAAATGTCTTACTTACAGAAACTGACCTCTAAGTTTGGAATGGCTGAATCTAAACTTGTTACTATGCCATTAGCAAGTTATTTTGTCCTTAGTAAACTGCAGTGTCCCAAAACAGAGGCTGAAATGATAAAAATGGAAAACATCCCATATGCTAATGTAATAGGATCTATTATGTATGCTATGATTAGTACGAGGCCTGATCTTTCATTTACAATATCTCTACTGAGTATATATATGTCAAATCTTGGAATTGACCATTGGGTTTCACTAAAATGGCTGTTAAGATACATTAATACTATTGAACACATTGGGCTGCTTTACTGTAAAAAGAATGCTACACTTGATCTTGTTGGGTATGTAGATTCTGACTTTGCAGGGGATAGAGACACAAGGAAATCTACTACAGCCTACTATTTCACACTTGGAGGGAACTGTGCATGTGAGTTGGAAATCTCAATTACAACCGTTGGTTGGATTGTCTACAATCGAGGCTGAATACGTGGCTGTCACAGATGCATTCAAGGAAGCACTATGGCTTCGAGGGATCCTGAAAATGTGACTGTATATTCTGACAGTTAAAGTGTCATCCACCTCAGTAAGAATCTGGCGTACCATGAGAGAACTAAGCACGTAGATGTCAGGTACCATTTTGATAGAGATCTTATCTTAAGAGGAATATTGGATTTGAAAAAGGTGCAAATTGAAGAGAATCCAGCCGATATAGGGACAAAGATTGTGACTGCCGCCAAGTTCAAGCACTGCTTGGACTTGTTACACATAAGGTAATCAATTAGAGTTGAGAAGGAATACTTGAGATGTTTGTTGCACTATTATAATACTGCTCAAAAGGGATTTTGCTGGCTTCAAGGTGGAGATTGTTAATTGTGAAGCCATCAAACGCTGCCATTTTGTTCCTTTATTATTTGCAATCCTGACCATCAATTTGTGACTGATCTAAAGGCTGAGACTTCACCTGACAGTCAACGGTATATAAACGTGGGACTATTCACCTTTCAAACAACAGCTCTCTCTTTCGTGATCAAGAAAAAAAAGCTTTCTCTTCTAGGGTTCTTCGGTTCACTCTCAAATCTTGTAATCCTTGGTGTGATCTGTTAATTCGCAAGTAGAAGGTTGTGTTTCCTTCAAGGGTAGAGAAGCTAGGATAGGTTTCTCTTAGGACTAAAGGGTTGTGGTGATTGTATTGAGTGATCGATCTGTAGAGAGCGGTTTTTGCTATTGTTTAAGTGTATTTGTACTTTGTAAACTCTTGATAATCCTAGTGCAACAAGCTTCAGTATTCTGGAGCTCAACGTGGACGTAGCTTGTTCAATCTTAAACAAGTGAACCATGATAAAATCATGTTTAATCTGTTCTTGTTTGATTCTGTGTGTGAGTGTTAAAGATAGATCGATATTTAGGCTTTATTAACAACAGAAATAAATACTCCAAGTTTTGTATGGTACAGTTATGAATTGATCAGTTTTTGCCTTTGATTAATTACTTCGTCTGCGCAAGAACCCTAGTGTTGAATTGCTATAGATTATCTGGCAACTACGTATCTAGTTTGATTCGGTGGGGCCTTATTATGAATTTAAGATCGATCGTTCCTGCAGTTGACTTGACACAGAACATTTAGCTTGCTTCTGAACAGGTTATACAATTGAATGAATAATGCTGAAAAAATGCATGAGGGTTGCTTTAATTGCTTTTGTTTTTCAATAAGGAAAAGTAAAAGCGACTTGTGCTTTTGCATATATATTGCTCTTCACCAAAAGTGAAGGAAAATATGTGCTAAGAGTTTAGTATTAATTATATAATTGGGTGCGAATGCAATGCACCAATTACAATTAGAATTAATTGGTCGAATCTTATCGCAAGGTAGATCCTGTCTAAATATTGTCATTATCCGGAGAAAAGAGATTTCAATTATGTGGTATATGAATTAAAGGCTCTACCCCATTTAAGAACAATTAGGGGAACCGAGACCCAAATTAATGGCGCATCTGCCGCTAGCTGTGTATAAGTGATCCAAAACAGTACAGTGAGAAAAACCTCGCATATGTTACTAGAATAGTTGAAAGGAACTCGCTGCATGAAAAGTCGGTAATGGTAAGGTAGCCAATAATCTACTACTTCTATAAATATATAAAACAACAATGAAACTAACTAAACGAAGCTATATATTCTTATCTTATACGGGTGCGGCCTGCTGTAATAATGATTTAACTTTTGTTTCTTTTTCTTAATGAGTCTGGTCTGTTGATTTTGATGGCAAAAGAGAACAAATGAATATGTAATTATCCACCATCGATACACAAGTTGAACCTATAGATAATCATGAATATAATTGAAGCCATTGAATTGGACGGCGCTTCCTTATTTATTCTTCCACCAATTTGATGGAGGGCTATCACAAAAAATGTGTTATGGTCACCACTGTTACTGCACTTGTCTTTCCCATTATTTTGTCATCTTTCCATGTGTTTACTTTTGTCATGATCATGAGGAGACATCCAAGTTTCATATTTCAATAATTATATGATAAAAAGCAACATGCAGTTGTCATGTTTTTTATTTGACCTATTCTTCGACTACTAATTTGCTAGACAACTGGATTCATAAATGTAGCTATAGAGTGATTCCGTCCAGAAAAACACTTAATTTTTGTGTATTTCCCCAGTTTAAACTGGAGTTCCTGTCTTTACTATGGATGTACTAGTTTCAAGTTTCAACCACCGTTCAATTTTCTAGTCAATATTAGATGAATAATCTTGTTTTGTTTGTAAATATGGGTCGACTGCCTCAAAATGGGGCCTGATCCGTCATGAATCGAATTGGATCTGTCTCAGGCAGGCCGTATATGTATATTCGATTCCTTCTACTTTATGCACTAAAATAGTGTACATATTTGTTTTAATCTCCTTTCAAACGGCTACTTGACTCACCATTCACCAACTGCTTTGTTTATGTTAAATATTATCCGTATCAAGTCACGGTTCATTAATTGCAATTGGAAATGGTAATAATAAAGTTCTATTACTAGTGCTTCACACATCAGTCTTTTTTACTACTGCGAAATTATTGCTCTGAGCTCTTGACAGTGACTTTGTCCTTTGATTATGATACCCATCGCCCGCTTTGAATTATGACAGCCCCAATTAAATATACCATTTCTCTTAATTTGTTGGGAGCTTACTAAATATCATCCAATATGAAACTCTTTCAAATTCGTTGTATATTACACTTTTGAGACTCCAACATTAACATTATCAGAATATATGAAAACAGGATGCTACGAATTGGGACTTTCAAAGTCTCACTCAGTCCAAATTTCTTTCCTTTTTCTTAAAATGAGTAAACTACATTTTCCCACCCAAATAATATTTTAATAATATTTTTTTTATTTATAAACTTTTAAAATATTATTTTATTATTTAAAGTTATAATTATTTTTCTGATTGTCATCCCACACCATCATTATTCTCTTCCTCAAATATCACTTATCAAAACCACTCAAATTTTACTCCTATCCACCTTGTCAACCGCCGATAATTGAGTAATTAGAGTTTACACAACTGTCCTTCTCAAGTCAAATTATGATTAATCCCAACTACTAAAATCTAACCTTTCATCACCCAAAGACTCATCGATCTCCCATTTTCAAAAGTCTCAACAGTCTAGATCGAGTTTGCTTTAAAAATTTATTGGTAAAAAAGTGTCATTAAATTATTATTTGGGTGGAAAAAAGTCGTTAACTCTCTTAAATTTGATCAAAACTCCTTGGATTAGTAACAATTTCGAGATAATAAGGTGGAGCTTAACAATTACAAAGACGTTAAAATTTGACAGTAATGAACAGAGCACCAGCAGGGGCTGAATTAAGTGCAAGGGAAAGTCCAAACTATCCGGTTGATGATGATGATCAGACGCTGAAAAGTAGCTTAAACGAGAGAGTGTTAATTTCTGTGAGCAAAAGTACTTTTGAAAATACAAGGATGCCAAATCACTATCATCATATACAGAGCATACGTAGTATATATGTATCCCTGAAATTCTGAATCACTGACACTACTTTTATCTTAAATGAAATCCACAGTAAAATAAATAAATGAAAGCAGTCTTGTTTGTTTTTTAGTTGCTCATTAGTCATTACTAATATATAATAGGAAATTGCATTATTTATATTCATCAAGTAATTAAAAAAAAAATAAAAAAAGTCTGGAAATATTCATGTTAATCTAATTCATGGGTTCACACACAGAGAGAGAATTGAGATAAGACCAGTCAAATGTACTGAAACTTTGCATGGAAATGAGTTTAACATTTTCTTTTTTTAAGAGGCTAGTTTGTTTGTTCTCTCTCCTCCCGATCTTTATATAAACCTGAAGCCTCATAGTTTTGTTACAGGCCCACTCACTTTTCTTGAAACTAGCATTTTTTTTTTTTTTTTTACTTCCAAAGCTCTAAAAAAATGGCAGCCTTTTCATACCAACACCGCCATCCTTTTCTTCTTGACTCTGGTTTCTTGCCAAATACTAATCCTATTAAGGTGTCTGGATATATAGAGGAAGAAAATAATGATATTGATAATTCCAATTTATTCTCTCAGTTTTACCCACCCAAGCCTCTTCAGGACATTCCTCTTGATGCTAGAGTTCATGAAACTAGCTGTCTTGATTACAGTTCAAAGGTTGCTCTTAGTGATAATGAGCCTTCTGTGACCAGAAAACAAAGCACAGACTCCTCCACTGTTGTGGATAGGCTTGAAAGTGGTGAGCAGGTCACTCAGACTCTGGCTCACATGGACAAGAAGAGGAAGAACAGAAATGGTTCTTCTCCAAATTCTGCTCAATCTAAGGTTAGATTATAGAATATAACATTATATAGAGTGTTTTATTTTTCAGATTTTTTGATGTCTTGCCCTTTCTGTTTATAATATTGATTTGTATATGGTTCTGATTTTTGTGGTCTATTTTATTAGGATGCAAGCGAAGTGAAAAGCAAGAAGCAAAAGAAGTGCAAAGATACCCAGAAAGTTGAAGAAGATAAGAAACCTAAAGCTGAAAAGAAAGAAAAGAAGAAAATTTCTGATGAACAACCACCCACTGGTTATATTCATGTTAGAGCCAGGAGGGGTCAAGCAACAGACAGCCACAGCTTAGCTGAAAGGGTACTGGCTAATGGAGACCCAACGTTTCTATCATTTTAAATCTCAACCTTCCCATTTTACCCCCACCAAACTAATAATATGTTTCCTTTGTCTCTAATTTTTGGTTATGCCTACCTAACTAGATGCTATTACGTCAACTTTTTCCATGTTTATTCATACTAGTTCTCATTATTGGTCACAGGTGAGAAGAGAGAAAATTAGTGAGAGGATGAAAATATTGCAAAAACTTGTGCCTGGCTGTGACAAGGTAAGTTCATGATCACTACAGTTCTGTGACTTCACTGTGTCTCTTTTAAATGAATGATGCAAAATTTCCTCCTCACTGTTTTAAGTGATGTGTATATATATATATATATATATTTCTGACAACCTTCATGTGGTTTGGCTTGAAAATAGGTAACTGGAAAGGCCCTCATGTTGGATGAAATAATCAATTATGTGCAGTCCCTGCAGAATCAAGTGGAGGTATATATATATATATATATGTGTGTGTGTTATGTACTATTAAGATAAACATGTTATAATATGAAATTAATTGTTTATTTGCTTGCTTTTGCTACGCATGATTCAACTAAAATGTATTTCTTTTTGTCTTTTTCAGTTTCTGTCAATGAAACTTGCTTCAGTGAATCCCATGTTCTATGATTTTGGAATGGACCTAGATGCATTCATGGGCAGACCAGAGGTAATTAAAAAGAAAAAAGATATTTCTGTAGTCTATTTAGAACCATCAATATTATTAATGCAATACTAAAAGCTAATGAGATCTTTGTCTCTGTCATGAATTAATATATATGCAGAGATTGAATGCCATTTCTTCACCAATGTCATCCATGCCACAATGCAGCCCGTGCCCTGCCCAGGTCACAACTTTTGCTGATACAACCACCACTTATGCCACACCTGATAACTATCCTGTTCTTGACAGTGCAGCGGCTTCACTATTACTTCAACAAGGCCAAAGGCCAAATGCCTTCTCTCAGGTTTATATTTATTTTATTACAGACGTATGTGAGCCATTTTAGACCAATTCCATCCACTGGATCTACCCCTTAAAATTCAGTAAATTAAAAAATAAATTATATATATGAGTGTTGTGTGACAAATAAGTCATTTTCAGGATAATGGCGGTCTATTTTGGGATGTGGAGGACCAAAAACAAAGGTTTCTTAATCCATATGGGTTCACCAACAACTTGTGTTCTTTCCATTAATGTTTAACATTGAGCTGCCCAACAAACATCTTGGTAAGCCCTCACGTCCTGTCTCTTGTTAGAGTAGAGCCAATTATAATATAATATAATGCTTATTATTTGTATTATTTTATCTTACCTTGTGCTTTTTCTCATGGATTTATCTTTTTCCAGCTTGCCGGGAGATTTCATAGCCTAACCGAAACCGGAAAAAGGAAATTAAAAAAAAAAAAAAAAAAAATGAAAGAGCACCGAGGAATGAAAAACAATCGACGGAAAGCTTATTTTTCAAGCATAAGTTCCAATGGAGAGGGGTTCTTCACCAGGAAAATTAAAGCTCTGGTTCGAATAGAGTAAAGCGGCATCTGAACGTGAATAATAAAAGGGCAGCAACATCAATGGATGATAAAGAAAGAACAACAACGACACACATAACCGACCAAATAAGACCAGATCTTTTAGCAGATCCCTTGTTCCTGTCCATTTTGACTCCAAAAAGTAGCTCATGCACAAATTCCAAGAGCCTTTTGTTGTTAAATCCGGACACTTATTTCATGTAAAATATAATATTTATATATATTATAAAACAATAGCTAGACATTAGTCTCTTATTGTTACAGTTATTACAGTTATTTTTACCGTTATCTCTTTTACTTTCTCGAGTACCTCTTTTCTCTGGTTTACTTTTTCCATTGGAGAAAAGAAATGGATCAAAACCCAAAAAAGAAAAGATATAATTAGATTCTATAGTTGACATGACTCAACTATTTATTTATATTTGTTATAGTTTGGTGAATGAATGAATTGTGGAATCTTGTGTGGTTTTGCCATTAATGAGACTGACACTGACACTGAGGCTTTTGATGTGATGAATTCTTCTCATACACTTTTTTTTTTTTTTTTCACTAACGGGTTCCTGACAAACTCTTAGCATCTGTTCTCTTCCCAATTCTAAATGTGATCCTGATTTGTAGCCATTCAATCCATCCTTTGGCTTTCCCTTTACCAACCATTTTGCAACTAGGATAAATATCCTGCAATTTGTTTCCTACTTTATATATATGTATATATGTTCGGCTAGGTTCCTATCACAATATCAATTCCATTGTGATCTTAATAATCATTCGCCAATTATATGGATAATGTTTAATTATGTAATGTCGAGAATCATAGTTATTGATGATAAAATGGGTTTGGATAGCCCGAAAGATAACTTAAGATAGATGAGAGAGTTCAACTATATATATATATCATCACAAACCATTATTGATAAAGTGAGTTTAGATAAAATTCACATCTAAAAACTAGCTCAAAAGAAGAAATATTATAATCACACACACACACATATATATATATATATATATATATTATAACAGTTCATTATTAGGGTGGTATATGACAAATTCAATTTCTAACCGATGTTTTATTAAGAGTAAGAATAAATTGAAAAAACCTCCCGTCCACTTAATTTATAATAGATAAGACAACAATAAGATTAGTTAGATTAATTGGATCTTGAGGTTACAAAAAGGGCATTAAATTAGATAGTTGTCATATTTTGAATTAATGATTGCAACATGATTATTAAACGAATTAAGAAGTAATCACATACTTATGATTACTTTTAATGATTGTTTAGGATTAAATGATTTGATTAATGGGCAAAAAGAGACTTCACGAATTTGAACTAAACTTAGACATATTTCATGTTGATGAGGTCCCATCTGTCAGCTTATACTTATTCAACCAATTAATGACCCAGATGATCGAAGTCGAATCACACATTGATTGGACTAAAGAATTTGACACACATCCATCCACTTTCACTTGCTTTCTAAGCATTCTTGTCCCAAAAATTAAACAAGTATATATTTTTAAGTTGTGAAAACAGACAATGCATGTGGTTTTTATGTTCTATCTGTTCTCTATGCTGACCCACTTGTTGATTTTGATCATCCAATGGGGAAAAAAAGATCAATGTGTTAATGTTTGATTATTCAATCTTTTCCAGCATGTGCAATCCCATCCGTTGCAATTAGTCGGCTCTAGAAAGAGCTACTTTCTTTCTCTCATTATTTTTATTAGGGGATAATTATCTTCACCTCTACCTAAACTAAAATTTGTTCCAATCTGATACATAAGTTAATTCTTTTTTTTTTTTTTTTTATTTCAATTGAAATAACTCTTCAATGTCATTAAACTTGAAAGTGATAAGTAAGGAAAATTAATCCAATATCCATATGACAATTGAAGACCCTATTAGCTAAAGAGGAGCCCACTAAAATGAATCTTAATAAATACTCTTGTAAGTTTTCCGGGTCGGGTTGAAAAATTATTTGAAATTGAAAGGAATTTCACAAGTGCAACCAAATCAAATTTTCATAACTGTCTTGATAACTACATGTATGTTGTTGCTAACCAGATAGCGTTATTGTAGCTTACAAGTAATTGTTTCAAGAAATTTGTAGCTCACCAACTCATCAATTTTCGCTTTGGGGTCCCGTATGTTTATTAAAAAATTATTTCGGGTCCCCATGTAATTACTTGTAAGTTGTAACCATGTTTTGATTAATTGTGAAACAGTACTCAACTGGCCATCGGCTATGGTTACGGGGGGAAACATCCCCAGAGCTTAACAACTCCCTCAAAATGAATTCATCTAAGTGGCACCATTAAATTTTCTATATAATAATTAGATATATAGATCAGCTTAATTATGAACCGATATTACTTCAAACATGTTTTATTGCTATAATTTGTTGGGTTTATAAGCATATACTTCTAGAGTTATAATTCTAAGAAATGGCGTTGTTGAAACCCAAATTCATGTTTAAAATTAGAGAGTTAAAACATTATTTTCAGAGACTTAATTATGCTAGCTAGCTAGCACCTACTACTACTGTTCCCTTCCAGTGAACCAGCAAGAAACTGTCCCCCAAACTTAAAAAGTTGACAAGTCTGTATGGATCGATCCCAGTATGTGTATATCAGGTGATGAATGATGATCATTCGTGTAAAGCAAAAGATCAAAAGAACAAAAACAAGAAAAAAGTATATATAAACAAAGAAGATCGAAGGGGACTTTTTATAAAGCCATGTTCCATATATACTAATTTGACACATGTCAAAGATCAACGCCAGAATGATCGATAAGAAAGATCGTACTGTAACTGTAACAATCATGCAAAAGAACCACCAAATTAAGTATAACGTATCAGCTTTGCCCTGTCCTGCTAGGAAAGGTGGATGTTTCTTTATACATGGAGATGCCAGGTGAGCATATTCCTGGAGACTTCTCATTTACTGTTCATGATGACAGAGAGACATGTATGACCCATCAAAATCTTGAATGGGACATCACCAATACGCATCATGCATGCAAAATATGTTAACACGGAGACCCTCCTTGGCCCTCCCGTCGATCTCCATGTATGGTGTGTCAACATCACATGTCATGGTTGAACAGGCTCATCATGACATGAGACAACCATGCATTAATTTGACTGTGATCACAGATAGATATATAAATTAGCTTAATGCCTGAGATAGATAGATAGATATCTAAGCTTAATTGCCTGTCGTTGTTTTAATTAGCTGGCCGACAACCATGTATGGTCATCTTTAATTTGCACTTAATCTGGCCTGTCCTTCACCCTTTACAAATCTTACACGATACCGAAAGTGAACATCACTGAATTAGAACCATTTTAATTTGCTGTCAAATAGAAAATATTTTTATAAGAAAGACTACACCATATCATGTTATCGTTCATTTAATGTGGGTCTCTGATAACAACCATCCATCAAAATCTGAAGATTAGTCAATTTAATTTGTCCATATATATTTAGTTGATGAAAATGAACGTCTTCTACTATCTGTTAAAATAAACACCTGGAACCAGGCTTGAGTAGACAAGATGGAAAAAGTAGCATCTTATTGGGTTAATTATTGATATAATTCGGTCAAATTACGTTTCAAATTTTCAATTGATGGGGAATGGTGGAACATAAAATGTTTTTAATTTGTTGATAGCATACTCAAAGGACGAATATTAACTTTGTATGACCCCTTATTATAATCCCTGAAATTAGCGTAATCCTCTATTATACACCCGCTTATAATTAGATTCATCGTGAAGACATTAGACATTGAATAGACAGGAGTCGAAAACTTTTTATCTCTTAGATTGATGATCATAATATTTCAACTATATATATGAAGTGATGCTCATAAGGCTATTCCCAATTAAACCTGGCAACTTGAATTAACTAATCAAGAGTACGATTAATAGGTAATTAAATATTGATGTAAATTTATATTATTTACAAAGCTAGGTATAAAGTCAAACTAGGTCCATTTAAAATACTTATTTATAAAATCAAATATTTCTCTCTATTTAGAGTTTTCTCCATCACCGATCTTAGCTGATAATTAATTACTTTAGAGGGCCCAGAAAAGGTCAACATTAATATTCTTACAATACAGAAAATTCAGTGGTGGTAATTAATTACTATGCTGTGATTAATATAAGGAGCCCTGAAAACAAATTCGAAGATGACCTAATTCCATGAAATTGCGTAGTTCGCGACTGTCTATTATTACAATATTATTATTAAATTTTCTTTTGTCTTTTATCAAAGTTTGGATTCTTATTTCTATTTTGTTTCTCATTTTCCAATGGATCAGTAGTTCAGTACAGTCTCCATCTTCTTAAAAGTAGTATTTGAATGAGCAAAATACATGATGGACAACAGGACCACATATATATTAACAAGCAATATCATTTTTTGGTTATTGCATAGATTCCATAGAATGGATCATCTCTTTTAACTCTACTGTATGAGACGGATGTTCAAATTGCCAACTAAGGAAATAAGATGTTGTATTACCTTTCTTATCTGTGTGTACTTAATTTAATAAAATGTCTTAAATTTTCTCTCCTATAGTCTGTCAATATTCCTCTCAAATGAAGGCATTTTCCGATTTAATCATAATCAGAATATATATTTTAATTTTTAAATATAGAGTGGAGTTGGAATTTTTTTAAGAAATTAACTTCGAAGTGCTACAAAGAGTTAGATAAATTTACAATCAATGAACGTTATAACTTAACTTGTCCTTTTTATGATACAGAGATGAGCCAAAATGGATGACAAGTGGTGCTGCTTCTTCTCGGAAACATCAAGAAGACGACAGAAAACACGTCGTGGTCATGTTTCCGATTGTTTGAAGTAACCGGGCCTTATATGCCTACAAACA